TCCCCTGTCCGTTGCGCAATTGGAGGAGCATCCGCTATCCCAGGACAGCCCCCTCCGGCACGGGGGGGGGAGGAAGAAGGGGGGGAGATGAAGTCCACACATCTTCAAGTGACCAAGGTTGAAAAACACTGGCTTGGAGGCTACAGTAATTCCCCATGAAGAAAGAGAAAAGCACAATTCTGATTCAGGAGCTTCTCCAGACCGGTCAGGCTTCACCCTGTAGTAACTACTCACCATCTCCCAGAAAGATGATGAGGTTCTTGGCCTGGTATTGGCGGAATGGCAGACGGATGGCTTTCTGAATGGCCTTTTGTGCCCGTTGATTCCAGAACGATGGTTTCTCCTCTTCCACTTGGAAGACAGGAGGGAGAAAGGGATTAGCACCAACACTGAGTTTATTTTTCCTTAACGGGCAAGAGAGAGGCATGCCATCTTAGGTCGTTGATCCTTAGAGTTGCTGTAAATCAGTGTTTCCTCGGCAATTTTAGGATGGGAGGACTTCAACTCCCAGAATCCCCCTGGGAGATACTGGCTGGGGAATTCTGGGAGTTGAAGTCCACCCATCTTAAAATTGTCGTGACTGCTGTAACTGATTGCAGGCAGAGAATAGATCAGCCAGTATCTGTAGATCCAGGTCAGATGAAAACTTTATTTTTATTTAACAGCAATGTCCAACCTGCCCCAGTCCCCCTAGACTTTAAGCAGCCCCCAAGACAGTAAGTTAGATAAACCCTACAATAAAATGAATATAAGCATAGTTTAATAGCTGAACAACGTAAAGCAAAATGTTTTAGCAGAAAACGCAGGCGGCATGGTGCTAACTGTTCATCTCCTGGACTGGATCTACCATCCTGTAAGGTGGGAACAGCATCGACTCGACTGGACCAAGGTTTTTTTGCACAGGTCTTACTGAGCCTTCTGAGAGTTTTATGTTCAAATCCGTGATCTACATTTGATCACAGAATTGTAAGGTTTTTCTAGCCCAGAATCCATAAGTTCAGATGAGACTCTAGACCGAGGTTTTTCCAAAGGAAGTTCAGCTTTTATTGTTGGCCAAGAGAAAAGCAGGGTGGACCACTCTCTGTCCGGCTGGCAGAGAAAAGAGAGAGAACAGCCACACCCAGAACAGTTTACAACAGCTTTTATACCTTTTTGTCATCTGGAAGCATCTAGGAGGAGGGTCACACACACAAGTGTACCCGCCTTCCAAGGCTGTCAAAACATTAGCTTAAGCAGCATAAACCAATAGTTAAGTTTCTAGTCCTCACTTGCTCCAGGGGTTCCTCATATAAGGCATTGTTGCTTGCCCAAATCGCGCAAAGGATGTGGTTGCATAGTGTGGTTAGAAGCAAGAGCAGGTGCAAAAGTTCGTGCATGCTCAGGAAATGTGTCTAGGAGCTCTGAAGCAAGACATTTGGCCTTTAGCTGAACCACATCTTTCCATTTCCTTTTGCACCTCTGCAAACTGTTAAAAATGTCCCTTTACGATCAGCATAGCTTTTCTATGCTTAGCACCTTATCACTTTTATAAGATTCCTAGTTGCAAAAGCGGTTTCTTTAACTGACCTTCCTATGTCAGCAGAAGCTTGAGGGACAGAAGCAAAGTCTAACCATTCCCTACAGAATCAAACGTACTTCTGTGTTTGCAGTCAAGCCCCAGGACCCGCAGCTCCCACCACCTCATCGAGATCGGGCTATCGGGACACTCACACAGACTCAGACCTCGCCAGGCCGTTACCGAAACGCACCTCCTGTTAGATCTGCCCGTGTTATCTTTACGGACGGCCGCAGGTAATGAGCATCAGCTTCCGGGCATTTACCACGCGGTTAAAAACAAACACACGTTCGCATCTGGCAATCAAAGCGAAACAGTAAAATCAGGGAAGAGAGGGGGGCGTTTATTTACATTTTTATTGTTCCCGCTGTTGTGTTTCGTTGTTGTGAGCCGCCCGGAGTCGCCTCCGTGAGATGGGCGGCTATATAAATCTAAACAAATAAATAAATCAAATAAATCAATGACTGGGAACAGGGCTTGGTATCAGTTCAGGAGCTGAAAATAAATTCCAAGCTCAAGTTATGCTCAGGGCAACCCTGTGCTTGCACTCGTGGTGTGTGTCTTTCCCACTTAGCAGGGATAAATGTGCAAATGTTCAGTACTGCAAGAACTCATCTTTTGTGGATTTCTTGATTAGGGTTCTGCAGTCTGGCCAGAGACAAAGAACCACCCATTGGTTGGAATCCAGGGTCTCCATGGGGGGTGGTCAAAAAAGTCAAGATGGCTGCCTCGCTAGTACAAATTAAACCCTGCCCTCCGTGGCTGTCATCTTGACACACATAACAACCAGGCAGAGGTTGATCGCATTATTTCGGCCACCACCTGACATTTTTCACCATAGCCTGTGGACACCTCAACTAATATTCCCATTTTACAAATGGGAACACTAAGAGACAGTGAACTGGGGACCACTGGGTCTGTCCTTCCTCTTGACCCTTGATCCCAGAAATTGTGGGAATCAAAAGTGTAAGGGGGTGCCACCCACTATGGATCACCTCCCCAAAAATCTAACACTGGATCCTCACCTGACCATCTTTGCCAGATCACCTAGTCTAGCTTTGCCCTAGGGCAGTGTTTCTCAACCTTGGCGACTTAAAGATGTGTGGACCTGAACTCCCAGAATCCCCTAGTCAGCATGTGTGGCTGGGGAGTTCTGGGAGTTGAAGTCCACACAGCTTCAAGTTTCCAAGGTTGAGAAACCCTGCCCTAGTGGATGCCTCCCAAATGTATTGGACTACATGTCCCATCTTCCCCATCAGCTGCTGAACATTATAATTCCACAAGGAAAGGACTGGAAGGCAGCGCACCTGAATTTTCAGGGGGCGGGTATGGAGGAAGAATTGGAGAGAAAAACAGTTTGTAGTTTTCATTTGTACTTTGGAGTTTGCACTTGGGATATTGCTGGAGAAGGAGCAAGAAAACTTTGGCCCTGATCCATCAAAAATTTGTTCCTTTCTTAATTAGGGTTGTGCTAAACCGAAGTCTGGAAAGTTTTCCTCGGCTCCTGCTCGCAAGCAAACGTCAAGATTAGATTTATTTAACAATTGAGCCCCATCATGCAAAATTAAATGCTAATTAATTGCACAGTTGATGATACACAAGGGCACTTTTGATAATATATAAGAGGTCAGTTCCCTGCCCTGATAAGATAACAGTCAAATATTCAACCAGGGAAAACAGGAAGAGGGTAGCGAAATGCACGGAGCAAAAGTTTCAGGCATTTCTCTCTGCTCAGACTGTGGACAGCGCAATCCTGGTCAGAAAAAATGACAGCCAAACTTTCTTAGCGGAGGTGGACGACAGAGATACCTCTGAGACTTTTTCAAATTAAATTTAAACACTACCGTTGGTGCCCTCACAACCCTGCCAGGAGTAAATCCACTTTACTTCAATTATTTGCAAAAGCACTAAGGTTGCCCAGCTGGGAAATTGGCTAGCATGCACAGCTGGATGGTTTTTCCCTTTTTTTCAAGAATGTCTGCGGGGGAGGGGGTCAAAAAAGTCAAGATGGTGGCTGCAAGCATACAGTCAAAGCACTGCCTCTTCTTACACATGTCACTGCCATTTTGACGTCCCTCCTCCCCGGCCCACAGATGTCCCTGCACAGATGTTTGCTGAATCCTGCTGATAGAATAACTGCATATAGCATCTTTCTGTAAGTAACTCCATTCTGGCTTCCATGATCACCAAATACTTGCTGTTTCCCCAACACTGAGGGATAACCCTGATAAAAATCAAATGTATAAATAAACCAGAATCCCTGTTTGATTGCTTCACTAACTGAATCGTGTGAAATTCTTGAAAGCGATATTATTTTCTTATACAGTACTAAAGGAAAGCCTTGGGGGGGGCGGGGGAGGAGGTGATTTATTGCACCCAAAATTAAATGCCAACTGTAGCTACAAGTCTGGATTCACATAATGAACTAATTGCAGAGAACTTTAGCAGGACAAATCTGATTAGCATTAACCTTGTTAGCCGGGGGAGCTAAGTGCATTCTGCAAACTCAGGCTTGTGGGTAAGTTTAAGGTCCGGTGTTTTAGGCAAATCTACAAAATGGGTTAATTCAGTAAACAGGTTGAACCTGTCATGTAAACATTGGCTTAGCCATGTTTGATAGAAGTGCTGAGTGTTTGGAAGCCTTAAAAGAGAGCGTTCTTGCGTCACTGACTTCGGAGATTTGCACATATCCCTTTATTTTCTGCAACTGGAGTAAAGGAGGTCAGTTCAGGACCCAGGTGAGTGTCTGCATGAACACAGCCACAGGTTCCATTTTAACCTTAAAAAGTAAATTCCCTCTTTATTTCCCCCCTTCCATCTGATTGAAGAAACACCTGGGCAGAACAGTGCTGGCCGGCCAGATTTCCAGCCTAGCAAAGCTAATTGGCTTTTCCTTTGCAAAGGTGGGCGAGGGCCGAGGAACGCCACTGCCCGAGAAGTTTAACTTCTTGGTTGGTATCGTCCCTGACGGAGCTTCAGAGCAGGCAGAACTTTTCCAGCCAGCCTGCTCAAAGATCCGATCAAGGGGCAGGAGAAACGAAAAGGGATCCACTCAGGAAAGATCTGCCCGGTGAAAGTGGGAAGCCACAAAAAAACCTTATGGACCATGCGTGGCCCACGTCCTACCTTTCCACATCCTTGCAGAACTGAGGAGCACTTGCTCCTTTGCCTGTCTCAAACTAGACAGGGTGTAACAGGCAGCCATCCAACAGGATCAGCCCTCCCTGTAAATCTGAAGCCGGGCTTCTTCCCGCAGCCCGCTTAGCCAGAGTTTTCCTCCTCTACCCCTGAACTCCTCGGTGGTGCCAGCCCACCCCAGCCCAGCCCAGCCCAGCCCAGCCCAGAGGCCTTTCCCTGTGCTCAGATTTACCTGGGATGACTGCAGTGGCGAACGCCAGCCCCACCAGCCACAGACCCAGCCCTGCCCGCCACATCACTGCCGGTAGAGCCGAGCACTGTCAGCCGGGAAGGAACAGCAGCCAAGACCCGAGGCTTATAAGAAGAAATCGCAAGGGAACTTTGGACAGCGAAGTGGCCACAAAGCATCATTAGCACCCACATTCAGCCCTTCCAGCTCCTACCTGGGAAGTAGTTATACAATCAACTGCAGCAGGAAGTATTGACATAGCTGCCAGGAATTGGACTCGCGCCCAGGGCTGATTCCTTTTTCCATCTTCTCTTTTCTGGCAAGACAGCCCCCGTTTCAAGCTGCTAGTCCTCATCCTCCCATCTCAGCACCTCGGCCTTAATTTCTTCCCTGGCTATGAATCTTGGGCTGCTCTAAATAGGGGCCCTCCTTGCCTTTTGTCAGGTCTGATCCTCTTGGCCAACACCATTCCCTCCCCACCTTTTGATCGTAGTTCCTGGATTGTCAGAAACTCTTTACGTCTTCTCCGCATTAAGTTTTGCAGACTTAACTTCCGCCTATTGTCTGTCGGCCAGAGAGGTTGAAGACCACCAACCAGAGCACCTCTGAGGGGTCCAAACAGCTCTGGAGGTTTGATCAAAGAGTCGTGGACATCATCGTGATTTTTTTTTTTGACACTTCCCAGAATGTTCCTGCCCTCAAGTGTGATGTGATTGATTGATGAGGTGTTAGCCCTGCAAGGTAGACTAGACAAGAAGTGCCCCCCGGGACAACCAGCTCTATCTTTATTGCAAGGTCACGTTAACGGAGTCTTGCAAGACTGAAAGCATTTCTTCCCACCTTTCCTTTTAACTCTCCCGAAAACTAGGAAGGGTCCCTTCTGAGGCGCTTCCCACGCCCTCCCTCCTTCTCTGGGCTGAGACACCTTTTACACGCCGGTTGTCCAGTCCGTGGCTCTCCCTCCTGCCTCCCAAGGTCATTCCCACATTTCATTAGGTGCCATCCAGTCATTGTTGACTCTTAGTGACCGCACCGATAGATTCTCTCCATGTGGGAACCCCCAGTGTGCACAGTTCATGTCAAGTGTGAACCCATAGCAAGATATGGCTTTGCCCATGTGGCATTGCAACAGCCCAGCCTACCAGCCTTGTGTCACCCCATTCCCCCATTCTGGCTTGTAAGACCTTCCTTAAGTGTTTAAGGAAAACACTTAAGGAAGGTCTAACAAGCCAGGAAAATCGGGCAGAATTTCCTACAGGGAAATCGCTCCGTTCACCAGCAAAGTCCGGCAGCCCCAGATGGAAGATAGAAACCCCAGAAAAGAAGGGGTGTGACACAGGCACGCAAACCTGGCCTGCTGCTGGTTTGCTGCTTTTAGCATAAAACAGTGTCTCTCCAAGCACGCTTTGTAAAGAAAGCAGATACAATCTCGGTTAATCTGTTTGTTTGTCTACCCAATGTGCCAGGCAAAGCAATTTTCTGGCTGCAACCTTTGCTCAACAGGCCAAGGTTAAAATGTCAATAAGCGTGATTTGAAGGCTGGGGAATTCTGGGAGTTCAGGAACAGGCCACACCTGTTCAGGAACAGGCCAAGGATTGGAAATTCCCCAAATTCAGTTTCAAGATGTTTGTTTGTCTACCCAATGTGCCAGGCAAAGCAATTTTCTGGCTGCAACCTTTGCTCAACAGGCCAAGGTTAAAATGTCAATAAGCGTGATTTGAAGTTCTCTTGGGCGAAGAAGTTCAGGAACAGGCCACACCTGTTCAGGAACAGGCCAAGGATTGGAAATTCCCCAAATTCAGTTTCAAGAGATGATTTGACTTGTCGTTGGAATGTCCACAGAAGGCCACAGAGAAATACGTGGAGTGCAATAGGGAGCCCCGGAGAACTGAGCATGGGAGAAAAACATGTAAATTAAATTAAATTAAATTTCAGGCTTTCCAATGTTATCACCTGCACTTTTTTCCCCTACAGTTCTCTGCTGATAGTGATTATGTTGTGATAGAGTTGATTTGACCTTACTTGGCTTCCATGGCTAATTCAAAATGCCAACTCTCACCCATTCCCACACCTTGGGGCCCAGACACCCCTAGCATGCCCTTCTCCAGCTGTTTCTGCCCATCCAGTAACATCTGGCAAGGTTGACTCAGTCCAGGTCCTGTAAAGCTGTGCCAACTTGCAAGAGCTCAGAAACAGGTCTCTTCTCCAGCCCTTCCAGGCCTTTGGAATGGCATCAGCTGCAATTCAGGATATCCAAAAGGGAAGTCAAAGCGATGAAGAAGCAGTGCGTGTAAAAAGGCAGGTGAGGCTTTGTTTGCAGGGTTGTGATTGCCATCTTGACTTATTTGACCTCCCTGGCCTCCACCGTGTTGTGCTTTCAGAAAAGATCTGGGTTTTTCAGCAGGCCCCAAGGGAGGGCAATCTGTGATCTGGCTCCCTGAGGGGTGTTCGGTCTTGTTTTTTCAGCTGAGGGTTTTGTTCTTCTCCCAGCGTGGGTGTTTTCATTATCAGATTATCATTTCCATGTTTCAAAGGTTTCTTCGGTTCCTGGTTTAACCCTAATTATGATAGTTTGTAGGCAGCCTAGAGTTGCGCAGGCTATAAATCTGATTAGTGAAATGTCTCACCCAGCCCTTCATATTCTCTGTGATCGTGATGCTATCACCTTTCTCCCATTTTGATAGGATGATTTCTTTTTTTATTAATAAAGTTTATTAAAAGTTTTAAGGAGAATAGAAAAGCAAACACCGACTAATACAAAATGGAGAGGGCAAAGAAAGAAAGAGAGGAAGAAAAAGAAAAAACCAAAGGGCAGCGAGCAAAAATTAAAAAAAAGAAATAGAAAGAAGACGTTTCCGATTTTCTCGGCAGCAAATTTAAGTATGATTACAAAATTATCTCTTGCTCTAGGATTACGAAAAAGCTCACTTTTTTCTATTAGCTATTTGTTTTTCTAATCATCAAAACCAAAAGTCATAAGAACACTTTTTTCCGTTCCATGCCAAAGGTCTATAAGGGGTTTCCAGTCAGCCATAAATGGAGTTATTCTCTTTAATCAAGGACGTCTATTTTTATAGGATTCCTGTAGGACAAGTGTGTGAATGTATCTTGGAATCACAGACCTTAAAGGTGGAAGGTGACCTTGAAGATCATCTAGTCCAACCCACTCAGGAATCCACTACGTCACCATCCCCTATAGGTGGTCTTCCATCCTCTGCTTAAACACTTCCAGAGAATAGGAATACGCGACTTTTCCTGGCATCTGTTTCCTGGCTGAACAGCTATTACTATTACAACAGGGTTCCTCAACCTCAGCAGCTTTAAGATGGGTGGACTTCAACTCCCAGAATTTCCCACCCCCCCCTGCCGTGCGGGGGAAATTTGGGGGTGGGAACCCCCCCACTTTAAAAGTCTTTTGGTGGGGGAACCCCGGTCTCTCAAAAATTTATTA